GGATGGCAAGTTCAAGCCCTACCTGGGCAACTTAGCAAGACTCTTTCTCAAAATACAAGTGAAAAGGGGCCGAGAGTGTAGCTCCGTGTGACAGCCTGGAGTTCAGTCCCCAGCTCTGCCACAAAGAAAAAACCACGGTGGCAGCTTTTGGAAAAGCTGCTGCTGCTGGTCCGGGAGACAGAACTTCCAGGGTTTCTGTGTTGACATCAACACTGTCATGGCCTCCATGGTCCTGCCACTCTTGGGACTGTGTGACCCTGTGGCTCTGAAAGAGCTGTGGGCTCAGATGCGTGCAGGGACACACGGTGTGGCAAGAACACGGACTCACTCAGAACTGTGGGGTTTCACCACTGGCTTTCCCGTGAGTTCTGTGCCAAGAGAGACCAGCACTGCCGAGATGACCTTCTAGGAAGGGCGGAGGCCAGTCCCTGTCCATGCTCGGGCTGGTAGCACACTCCTGGATTCCATGTCTGAGCACCTACTTTGGTGCAGTCCGCCGCCCTGGCCTGCGCCACCAGGGGTGAGCGAGGCAGAGCTTCTAAACCCAACGACAAACTGGCTGGGGGAACGGAACCTGCACGGTCGGGTCTCTTTGCTTTGTCTGCCTTCCAGCCTTTTGGAAGAGATCCTTACCTGTGTTTTACATTGTGCGTGATATTTCAAGCTTCCACAAACTTTTAGCATCTCATCTAAATGGTACAAGCCCTGTGGTGCAGATGTGTGGCTCTGCACATTCCCCTAGTGCTCCAGGAGGTCTGCTCCACGACCCCCTGGCCACCAGGTCCCATGCCCAACCCTCAATCACTGCGGTCCAGTACCTGGTGCCTTTTCAGAGCCAGGGAGGAGGAACACATGTTCTCTAATGGCTTTGATTAATAATTACATGACTGGCTTTTAGGGAGCAAGCTGTGGCTCACAATTATGCAGTGCGATCTGGGCAGAAGAAGAGTGGCAGTGTAGCCCGGGGTAGGAGCAGGGGCAGGGGCAGGGGTGGGCAGGCTGTGCCTTGCTGAGACCTACCCCTGACCTGACTGAGCAGAGGCAGCTGAACCTGCCTTTTCCTCCAGTGGCCCAGAAGAGAGGAGGCATCGCCTCACATCTCTGTGTGTTCGTTAAGGCCTTGCAGGTACTCAACAGAGCAAACAGCTACTGCTAGGCCTGAGCTCCGCAAGGCCCCTAGTAAGCTCTCCCATCTCTTACTTAGCTCTGCTTGCACAAGATGCATCTGGCCCCTTTCAGAGCCTGCTGTTCTGAGAGCCTCTTCACGGAGGAGGACAGCTCTTGCACACACACCTGGACGCCCATGGCTGCCCAGTCGCAGTTCCCCTGGTGTTGGCCGTGGTCCCTCGGGTACAGTGGCTCAGGGCCTGGCTTTTTATCCCAAGTGCTTAAAGCAAGAGACCTCAAGTAGTGACAGACCAAGGCACTGTGGTTCTGGGTCAGCTCCTAGTTGCCTCATACCTGGGCCCTACAGGCTGATGTCCTCCAGAGAAAGGCCCCTGGCCTCCAGAGGCTTCACAGTGCCCTTTCCAAGTGGCCGACTTACTTTTATCCTCTTGAGCGTGCACCTCTCCTTCCTAGTAAGGCTTGTGCCAGGCATCACGTGCACCAACTTGCCCACCTCTCTTTCTGCAGCCTCTGGGTCTCTGTATATAATACTTGAAACTTTGCAATTGATGCCTGGAGGCTCAAATCTGAGCACAGCTGGGTTCTAAAGGTCACTATTGACAGCTGGGACCAGGCCTGGGCCTTGGGGCTTAACAAGGGAGCCCCGCAGTGGCCTGATGTTTCCCAGCTCCCCCCACCCAGCCGTTACACTCCTTCCTCCAGGTCTTAGGAGCTGGCTGGGTTGGCATCTTTGATGCCAGGGGCTTTTTTTTTTTTTTTTTTTTTGTCTTTTTCCTTTTTATCGGTACCGTGGATCGAATTCACGACTGCCTGCTTTCAAGGCAGGCGCTTATGCCGCTGAGCTAATCCCCAGCCCCGATGCCAGGGGCTTTATTGAGAGGTGAATTTAAAGACAGAGGAGAGTCCTTCCCCACCCATAAAGGAAGGAATTGGGATGAGAAGCAGGAGAATCACAGAGAAAGCATGCGTGTGGGTGGGGCGGGCATGTCCTGCCTCCTCTTGGGTCTGCTTACGGTGACTCATACGGTGTCAGTCACTGAGCAGCGTGGCCCTGTGAGTGCTCCAGACTGCTCCTGAAATTAGCTCCGGGCAGTGGCGCGAGCCTGCACAGCCTGCTGTAGGCAGCAAGGTGGACAAGGGGTGGTGACGCCCGAGTGGGTGCTTCCGACGAGGCCTGGGAAGCAGCCTGTCATTCTGGGAAGCCTGGAATGTGGCCCTCAGATTCTCTGCCTTAGCACCTTTCCCCTTCTCTGTGCTCTTGTTTCTTCTTTCTCTCCTTCTGCCCTCTGTGGGTTCATAGGGTGTCTTTCCGTCTCCAGGAGCACTGGGGCTGCCGTGTAGGGCACTTCCCGCCCAGCTGCTGATGAACGGGGAGGTTTAGTCATGTTCTTTTGGCTCCAGAGGGTGAAAGGAAGGTACACACTGCGAAACACCCCAAAACAAGCCTATTTCAAACCAGTTATCCTCTGTTCTCAGGGCAAAGTGCTTCCTTGTGCGTCTGTCTGCTGAACAGGCCAAGTCCCCTTAGGGCTGACTGCGTAGACCAATGAGGCTGGGTCTGAAAGGCTTTCTGCGTGCTGGGAGGTAAATGTAACAGCCTTTAGAGTGGCAGGGCCAAAAGGATCACAAAGGGCATTTTGGGGTGAGGCAGTTGCATGCATAGTTAAGTCTGAAAGTCAAAACTCGAAAGACCTAAATTCAGGGGAAAGACGGACCAGCAACCTCCAGCTAAGTGCAATACAGGAAAGAGTGCGCATTTTGCAGGATGGAGCCCCACCATGTGGCATCAGGTGTTCTGGTGGCTCCTTAGCTCTGGGCAGGGATGGTCTTCCTTCCTGCCACTAGGCTCTGGGTCCACTCCACTGCCAAACAGTGCCTTGAACCCCGCTGGCCGGGGGACCAGGAACTCCCCAAGGCGGACTCCTCTCTACACTCTAAATCGTCACTCCTCAAAGCTGATCATCTCCAGGACACGGTGGAGGCAGGAAGTTGGCCACGTGTTGAACTACGAGGTTAGGATCCTGGAACAGAATTGCCCACACGGGCGGATCCCTTGGTGCATGGCTTGGCAGTCTTTGCTCTGAGCCACGATGACTAGTACTGTGTTTGTCAACTTTTAGGAGGTTCCGCATTTGTGGTTTGTGAAAGACAAACAAATGGCAGTGTGCACAGATCAAAGACGCTCCCGCAGGACCTGAGAATGGGCGGCAGTCAGCACAGACCAAAACGGCAAGGAGACCCTGCCCTTCCCAGTGCCTCAGCTGACCTCCTGGGGTATTTCTTGAGATCCTTTCTGTCTTTCCTTCCTTCTTCCCTCTGTCTTTCCCTTCTCCCTTACAGGACGCAGTAATAATTCAGTACACATGGGGCTGGGGATTTAGCTCAGCGGCATAAGTGCCTGCCTTGCAAGCACGCAGTCGTGAGTTCAATCCCTGGTACCAATAAAAAGGAAAAAGACAAAAAAAAAAAAAAATTCAGTACACATATGCAATGTGTAATGATCCTACAAGGATAATTAGCATTTCTGTCTCCTCAAATAATTTCCCTTTCTCTGTGTCGAGAAACAACTCTTCTCTTCTGGTTATTTGGGAAGACATTAAATTGCTGTGAGCAGCGGTTACCCCCTCATGCTCTGAATCTGTCCGACTGCAGGTTGGTACCTTTACAACCTCTAAGAGCCACAGTTTCTCTGGCCACCTCTACTCCGTGAGTAAGAGCAGGTGGGTTTGCAGGACTGCTATCCTTTTGTTCTGAGCAAATGCAGTCAATACAGCTTTGATCCAGGTCACGGGCACACGGGTGTCCTCAGCCACAGTGGCTCCAGGGCCTCCAGCTCTTAGAGTTCTTCCTTGATTCTTGGTTTCCTTGTGTTCTCCCTGTGTTTGCACAGAGCCCCGCTCCCAGTTTCAGGCTCACAGCATCCTCAGTTGGCCGCCTTCCCTCTACCTGCCCCACCACTGAGAACTGTTACTGCTGCGGCAGTTGGGAGTTGGAGGGTGTTCGATGCTGCTGCTGAAGCCTGAATTCAAACTCATTACTCAGCCAGTGGAAGAGCGGCTCACAGAAAGAGTTGCTATCTGTCGTGTTTAAGATATTTTAGTACTTCCACAAGCTTCTGGTCTTTTTAATAAAAGGTGTCCATTTGCATGTTTACAAATGCCTTTGCTGTTTTTGACTTGGAAAAACGAGCAGAGAATCTGCTGAGCTAATGGTTAGCCTCTGCCCATTGATGCTTTCAAATCCTAGGGTCATGGAAGGGAATGAGGCACAGGGGTCACCTGTCAGGGTTCAGAGGGCAAAAGCTACCACAGATGTGCTAAGCAGGGAATGTAACATCCAAGACTGACCACAGTGGGTCGGAGGTGCCACAGGGCCAAAGGAGGAAAAGATTAAAGGCCACCCACAGATTAGGAACGGCAGGAAGCTGCCCTCCCGGCTCAGCCAGAGGAGGAGGACAGAGCAGCCTTGCCCAGAGCCCTGACCTCTGCCTGAGTGGGGCCAGAGTTCTACGCTCACTCAGAAATGCCAGCTGGGCCTTGCTGGCAAGAGCCATCACATGGCCACACACAAGGCACCTGGGAACGAGGTGGAATAGGCAGCACCAAACCTGGTGAGCAACTACTCTGTTCCATCCGGGTACAGCAGTCCGTGACTTGGGAGGGAGCAGTGATCCTGTCATTGAGTCAGCCCAGACTCCTCAGGGCTGTGTGTGTGTGTGCACTTGAGTGTGTACACAGATGCATGCGTGCACACAGCTGTCCTGGCACAATAAGCTGGGAGCTTATTGGTCAGCTGTGCCACCTCCCTCCCCTCCCCTCCCGCGAGGGCACTCCCGAGGGCCACTGTACTGACTTGAGCGTTCTCTGTTGCAGGGGGCCCTGGCCCAGCCCCAGCCCCAGCCCTGGTGGAAGATCCAGCTGTTCGTGTGGGAGCCGGTGCTGTTCGGGACCTGGGATGGTGTGTTCACATCCTGCATGATCAACATTTTTGGGGTTGTCCTCTTCTTAAGAACCGGCTGGCTGGTGGTGAGTGATAGGCTGGAGGCTCTGGAGCCCCTCGTCACATGACGTGGGAAGTTGTTGTGCTTGGCATTCCATAGTCTAGGCACCAGATTCCAGAGGCACAAAGCACAAAGGCTCCTGAGGCCTGAAACACGAAGCAAGCACAGGGAGCGGCTGGCGTTGCTTTTAAGTGAGAAGCCTGCGAAGCGGACCTCACAGATGCTGAGGGGAACCTTGCCAAGGACTTAACTATGTGCGGAAGTTGGAGCTCAACATGGGCGGGGACTGGAGATGGGGCAGAGGGAGCAGACAGATGCCACTATTAGCCTTAGTCACTCCCTGGCCTTCTAGGCGTTTCCAGCTTGGCACCTGCCCTCCTCATGCACCCGTCCTTTACCCACACAGTTGCAATGCCCAGCTCTGTGTGTGACTGTGCCTGGGGGTGCTTGGTTAGAGGTGCGGATTACCCATTTTGCGGACACATTGCTTAGGATAGAACCAGCAGTGTGCGGTCATGGAGATCAGTTTGCCTTCCTCAGCACAGGAAATAAAGGTTCTCTCCTTTAGTCTTGTGAAAGGGTCCTGGAACCTCCTCAAAGGTGCATGCACAGAGGCAGGCTCTCAGCCCCTTCCTGCTGTGTCTTGCACGTGAGACTTCAGTAGACGCAGGTGCCCAGAGCAACAGGCAAACCAGACATGAGTTCACGACTGAGTGCCTGTTGTGTGCTAAGTGCTACTTGTACCAACGTGGCTGTGAAATGTGAGCCCTGGTCCCTCCTAAGGTGGACAGGTTCACCTCAGGAGAGGGCTCATAGCTGCATCTGCATCAAACCCCTCAGGTGTAGTGTAAGCTGTGGATGGTGTGGAGGCCAGGTGTCCAGGCAGTTTCCCAGAAGAGGTGCAGGGAGAGCCAGGCTGGGCAGAGGACCTTTTATGATGTACAATCTATTATCAGAATTCTGCAGAGACATAGAGCAAACGCCATCAGAGGTATGCTTAAATCAGGTGTACGGCGTGAGGTATATACCTAAGCATGAAGGCCAGAAACTCAGCCAGGATCTCTGTGTTGCAAAATCAAAAGCCCCGTTTTCTTTCTTTTTTCCCTTTTTCAGTTTTTTTTGTTGTTGTAGTTTGGTTTTTTGTTTTGTTTTTTTAGTGCCAGAGATTGAACTCACGACCTCACGCTTGCCAGGCAGGCACTTATGCTACTGAGCTAAATTCCCAGCCTAAAAACCCAGTTTTAAAAAATGAGCAAACAAAATGAATAGACACTTCTCAAGAGAGAAAGTACAGATAGCCAATAAACACATGAAAAAATATTCAGCATCACTAGACATTAGAGAAATGCAAATTAAAATAACACTGAGATTTCGTCTTAAGAAAGAATGACCAGGATGGGAAAATAGCTCAGTGGCACAGCGTCTGCCTGGCAAGCCCGAGGTTGTGAGTTCAATTCCAAGTACCAAAGGAAAAAAAAATGAGAGCATGGCTATCATTAAGAAATCAAATAATACACAGTACTGGTGAGGCTGTGGGTAAAAGGAACCTTCTCCACTGTTGGTGGGAATGTAAACCAATGCAACCACTATGGAAATCAGTGTGGAGATTCTTCAAAAAACTAAAAATAGAAATTCCACTTGACCCTGCTATGCCTCTCCTACGTATCTTCCTGAAAGAATTAAAGTCATCATATACAGTGATATAAGCATACCCATGTCTATAGCAGCCTAATTTATAATAGCTGCATCTTGGAAACAGGGTGTAAATGAATGACTAAACAAAGTCTGATATTTATACATGGTGGAATACTCTTCTGCTATAATAAAGGATATACGTGACACATTTATAGGTATATGAATGCTTCTTAGACCATAATGTTAAGTGAAATAAATCAGAGACAAATTTAAATAGCACATGGTTTCTCTCATATGAGAAACCCAACATGCAAATAAGGAGCAAATTAAAAGACATTCTAGGAGACAGGCAGATCTTTCTCAAATGAGAAGGTGAACAAGAAATGGAAGTGGGAGAGAAGGATGGGAGGAGAGGAGATTTTTTAAAAAGAATTGAAGAAAAAATTAGAAATAGAGCATGTATAAATGGGAAGGGACCAAGAGATGGGAGGAGCCAGGAGGAGCTGAAGGGCTGGGGAACCAGAAACAGAATTCAGGTTCTTATGTACGAACTCTGCACGATGAATGTAATCATTGTGTGCTCCAAGCGTGGACTAATTAAAAAAGAATAAAAACTAAATTAATAAAAGGATTTCTGTGTTGCAGTTAAGACACAGAATTCCTCCTCTGGGTAGGCCCACCCGTATCATAGAGAGATTCTCTATGAGTCGGCTGACTGGGTGTTCACCACATCTAAAATAGCTTTGCAGCAACAGCTGGTCACCCCCGGTCACATGGCCCAGCCACTCCCACACAGACGATGGCCAGCCTGGCACACTGCAGGGCTCCCCTGTGCAGAGGTTTCAGCTGCTCCCAACAGCCTGGGCAAACCCAACCGTCCCAAGCTCTCATCCCCCATCATGCCCAGTTCTAGCTCGGGCTTAGCCTTAGCTGTGGCTCGGAGGAGTCTAAGCATGGAAAGCTTAGATGAGGCTCAGCAAACTTCCCGTTACTTTTTCTAAGGATCCATGCCTCTCAGAAACCCTCCAATTCTATAGGGACCCCAGAGTTTCAAAACCGCAAAACCCCTGGCCCACGCTCCTTACCCTGGCAGGCTCCTGAGAGCTACCCTGCTCTTGCCTTACTCAAAGACCACCTCTCTGCCCAGCACCTTTCCAGCCTGTGTCAAGGAGGGCCATCTGCCTGACCTCGGGCAGGAAGGCCCGCTCAGAGCTCCCTGGGCTGTGCCCTTTCAGGGATGGTTATGCAGAGGTGCAAGGAGAAAGACAGCTTTCCCTGTTGATGCAACCTTTTTAGCTCCATAGCTTTATTTTATTTTATTTTATTTTTCTTTTTCCCTGCCCCCATAGCTTTATTTTAGAAATGACTATTCCTGGGGCTGGGGATTTAGCTCAGCGGCATAAGCGCCTGCCTTGCAAGCGCACAATCGAAGTTCTATCCCCGGTACCAATTAAAAACTATTGTGTAAATTGCAACTAATGTGATCATTTAGAATGACTAATAAGGTATTTGCATACTTAAAAAATAGTGAGTCACTATGTCCAGCCCAGACTCAAGGGAGAGGGCTACCTGAGCAGGAATGCTGGGAGGCAGAGGTCACTGGGGCCGTCTCCGTGGCTGTCTACACAAGTACCTTCTCTTGCCTTAAGAGGGTCTCTAGGTTTCTGCTCTGACATTAGTTTCATCTGACAAATCATTTGTAGTCATGAAAACAAAGGCAAATGTGAAATGCTAAAAATAAGAGCTCCTAGGGAATAGCATAACATTAAAATAAGTAGCGATCACTCAACCCTTTTTCGTAAATAGAAAATAATTAACTGTCAAGACTGACGTGGGTGCATATTTATAATGCAGAAAATGGTTAAGTGGCTATCCTGATTGGAAAACTGAAGGTGCTATAACTATATGACATTTTATATCTACACACAATTTGCAAGTATAAACAAATGAACAAAGGAAGAGAATGTTGCTATATAATTTCATTAAAAGTGTGAAATTAGCAAAATCAATAACGCATGCCCAGATGTCACCCGCAGGAGCAAATAGCCCGAGGGCACCAGCGTTCCTGAGCTCCCAGGCTGGAGCATGGTAGGAGGGAGCGGGGCATACAGGTGCGTCAGTTGGCTTCTGTCTGTTGCCTCCCGTCCCCCTCCAGGGCCACGCATGGTCAGTGCTTCTGGACACCCTACAGCCATGCGAGCCATCTGGCACTTGCTGGGTTTCTTCCTTATGCATTGCGACAGTATGTTGGCACTCTCTAGAATCTAGCCATTAAGGAGATGAGGAGGTGACCTGTTTATAAGCTGCAGAGCAATAATTAATAGCAGCATACAGTGTACAGCAAAATAAGAATATAGGGCAAGTAAGATTTATCAAGGACTTATACAACCGGTGGTGATCCAAGTGGATCACACACGTTTAGTCCTAAAATGTAGTATTTCCTGGCAACCTTCAAAGTAACTATTCTTGTTACCTCCCTTTTACTGATTAGGAAACTGAGTACAGAGAGGGGACGTCTCAGTAGCTAGGACGAGGAAGAGTCTGCTTCCTCTCCACACAGTTTACATGCCGTGCACAACTCTCCGCAGACGCGTGTCCCTTTTTAGACCCGAGGGTCCCCAGGGAGCCCTCTCCTGAGTCTTCACCTCCGTACAGGACACGTGGTCAGGGCCCCCTTTGTCAAAGATAAGTGTGGGTGACAGTGAGTGCATCTGCACAGTCACATCCTCATCACACAGTCCCCTTCCCCTTCTTCTGTCTCCCTCCCTCCCTCTTCCCCTCCCTCCTCCCTTCCTGGATGCTTTCTACTCTGTTCTGTGATTTGAGACAGTTACTCCACAGTACTCCAACCTAAGACAAATCACCAGAGACAGAAAGCACAGGAAATGTGCGGGAGGACGAGGTGCAGCTGGAATAGGACAGCAGTTCCTCCCGGGCCTGCAGCTGCACCTGTCACCTGCGGGCAACCCCAGAGCCAGAGGAGAAGGTCTCCGCTGGTGCCCTCTGAGGGGTGGCGGGCAGAGGCCCTTTCTCCCCGTGGCTGTACTGTGAGTCAGTGTTATAGTATATTCCTTGGCAGCAAGAGAAGAAACCCAAAATCGCTTCATGTGAAGTTCACGGGTGAGGGAAGACTTAAAGGCAAATACTCCCAAGAGGATTTGAGTGGGCCAGCAGGACTGGTTAGAAATAGGGTAGCAGCAATGCTGGGCAGGAATAGAGAGGAGACTTCCAGGATGCCCAGCTCTGAGCTCTGTGTCCAGCCAGCAGTGATGCTGCTATCACCGTATATGCACAGGCACCCGCGGCCCTTCCTCCCCATTACCCCTGCAGCACCCAGAAGGTCTCTCAGCTCGCGAGCTGGCTCCCCCCTCTCTAATCCTCTCTCTTAACATGTGCCACGCTCAGGTCTTGCCCATCAGGAGACTCCTTGGCCCAGCTGGTAACTCTCTAGAGCGGCACTGCCTTCTGGCTGTGGTATGCCTGTGTCCCTTTCTTCTCTGGGACTCTTGCTTTCCCTCTTTGAAATGTATCTGTGTGGGGGCACTCCAGGCATGTGTGGCTTTGTTCACTGAACACGCACTTAGGGAGTACCTAGTCTGTGTGGAGCTTGTGCTAAGACGCCAGGGCAGGGAGAGGCTCCTGCTCGCCTGGGGCTCATGCCTGGGGAGAGACTTGGTGTGAGTCGTGCTGTGATAAGCTCCAAGCCATGCGTCCTGTGGGATCCCAGAGGAGGGCTACTAGGACAGCTCCTAGAGGACCAGGAAAGATTACAGATCAGCATGGGTAAGAGGGTGGCAGGTGGACAGCATGCCCCTGCGTGCTTGGGCACAGAGTGACCGGTCAGAAGATGCCATGTGGACACATGAGCAGCTTAAACTGTATCCCAGAGGAGATGTGAAGTCCTTGGAGGCTTCCACAGTTCACCTAGATCTTCCCTGGGCTCAGCTCTTGTGTGGCTCCCTCTGTCCTTCTCTGGTTGTCACTCCCCAGTGGCCTAGCCTCTCCCCAACCCCGTCCCCCAGTTCCAGGACAGAAGATCCAGGGCTAGGGGTGCTGCGCAGTGCTCCCACAAGGCCCCCACCCCAGACAAACCTGCACTCCTAACCTGACTGCTCCTTGCTGTTCTGCTGCAGGGAAACACAGGCGTGCTCATGGGCATGCTTCTGGTGTCTTCTGTGGTCACCGTGGCCCTGGTCACCGTGCTGTCTGGCATCGGCATCGGGGAGCACAGCGGTATGGGCAGCGGCGGCGTCTACTCCATGATCGCCTCCGTCCTTGGCGGGCAGATGGGAGGCACCATCGGGCTGCTGTATGTGTTTGGACAGGTAAGACCGCCAGCACAAGGACTGTGCCGCTGCCTGTGCCCTCCCGCCATCTTTGCCTCCCCTTCCTTGACTTACCTGGTGTGTCACATGTTTCAGAGGAGCAGGCCAGGCCCCAAGGGACCCTCAGTGGCAGAGCCAAGCCGCAGTCCAGAGCCTGGCTCTTTAGTCCCAGGGCTCCTGTCCCCCAACTCCTGCTTCCTGGGTTCCTGGTTGGACCACGGCCACGCTGCTGTCTTTCCAACAGAAGTGTGCATACCACAGCTGTGGCCCAAGTGGCAACCATGTGGCCTGGGTGCTGAAGAGAGGCCATTTTGTGTGCCTAGGGACTTCACTAGAAGCAGACCCTTCCCAATGGAACAGTTGCTTGCAGACACATCAGACGCTCTGGATGGCTTGGTGGCCTTACAGGGAGGTGGACAGCCCTGTGTGGTACTAAAAAGGAGAATACCAATGAGGAGCCACCTCGTCAGCATGGATGAGAGCACTTTGGAAGCCAGCAAGCCATTCTAAGGAGGAATTCTAAGGCTTCTTTCGCTAACACGCAGGGACAGTGACTTAATGCTGAGGACACATAGTATGGGCAGTAGGAAGCAGCTCTTTGTAAGCATTTCTTGGACTGAAGGAGCATTTATGATCCCATAAAGTGTGGCAAGTGGCTGAAAAACTATTTACAAAAAGAATTTGTCTACAGAGTATGAGAATCTCCTTAAAGAAAGTGCCGGATTTGTGGCTTTCATATTTAGACAGCACAGCTGGGGGATTTTAGTACAAATATATCTGATTCTTTCATAGCACAAAGCACACGTGTGTGTGTGTGTGTGTGTGTGTGTGTGTGTGTGTGTGTGCCTAAGATAGATGCTACAAAAGTGGATAGATTGCCAATCATTTGCCTTTACCTGAGAACGATCTTTTAGCATGATATAGCTTGAACATCCCTGGAATGGAAATCTGAAAAAGAAAACACTCCAACTTGTAAAACATTTCAAGTATTGTGTTGAACTGTACTCAGAAGTTTCAGATTTTCATGTTAGATGCTCAGCTCACAGAGTCTATGCAAATGTTCCAAACTCCAAATCCATCTGGAACACATCCTGTCCAGCAGGGGTGCTCAGGTGTGACACATGGTTGCAGAGGATGTGACACATGGATGGGTACCCTGCTGCCCTGAGGGTTTGCTCATGGACACTTGTGATGTTTTTGTCTAGTTTTTGTGTCCGGGTAATACTGGTTTCACAGAGGGCGTTTGGAGGTTTTTTTTCCCCTAGCTTTTGGAAGACTCTGTCAAGAATTGGAGGGTTGGGCTGGGGATTTAGCTGAGCTGCATAAGCGCCTGCCTTGCAAGAACACAGTCTTGAGTTCGATCCCCGGTACCGATTAAAAAAAAAAAAAAAAAAAGAATTGGAGGGCTGATTTTTTTCAGTATTCGGTAGATTTCAGCAATGAAGCTGTCTGGTTCTGGGCTTTTCTTTGCAAAAAGTTTTGATAACTAATTCTCTTTTTCTTGATTTTTATTTTTTACTACTACCAGTTTGCAGTGCACAATGATTACATACGTGGTGGAGCTGGTCGTGTGCAGACACCTGAGAAGGGGCTAGCTGGACTGAGCGGAGTTTCTTGTTTCAGGTTTTGAGGAGTCTCCACACTGATTTCTGCAGTGGTGGTGTTAGTCTACCTTCCCTCAACAGTGGAGAACTTTCCTTTCCCAACACAGCTTCACCAGCATTTTTGTTGTTTGGTTTTTTTGAGGATGGCCGTTCTCTCTGGAATAAGATGGAACCCCAGGCTTGTTCTAATTTGCATTTTTTCATGTATTTATTGGTCCTCTGTACTGCTGAGAAGAGTCTGTTCATTTCAGTTTCCCACTTTTTGACTTGGTCTTTTAGTTTTGGGGAGTGGGGTCTGACCATTTTATTTTTTAGTTTCTTACATATTTTAGATATTAATCTTCTATCTGAAGAATAGCTGTCAAAAATATTCTCCCATTCTGTAGGTTGTCTGTTTGCTCTGTTGATTGTTTCCTTGTGGAGAAGCTTTTTAAGTTAATATAACCCCATTTGTAGACTCTTGATGCTATTTCTTGTGTTCTGTTTACAGAGTCCTGGCCCATGCCCTATGTCTTTAAGAATTTTACCTGTTTTGTGTTCCAACAGATTAAGTGTTTCAGTTTTAACATTAGGGTTCATTTGAATTTTAATTTAGTGCATGTTGGGAAGTGTGGATCTAGAGTCGGTCTTCTGCATGTGGATGGCCAGTTTTAACAGCATCATTTCTTAGAGATGCTGTGTCCCTCCAGATTATGTTTTTGAACTCTTTGTCACAGATGAGAAAGCCTGTGTTATTTCTGCACTCTCTTTTCTGTTCCATTGGCTACACGTCTATTTTTGTGCCAGTACCATGCTATTTTTTTTTAATCACTGTAGCCTTCTAATATGATTAAAGTCCAGTTTAAGTGCCTCTTGTCTTAGTCTTGTTACCCAGAATTGCTTTTGCTATTCTGGTCTCTTCCAGTTCCATATGAATTTTAGGATTGTTTTTCCTAGTTCTGTGAGAAATACTATTGGCTTTTGATTGAGATTCCACTAAACCTGTATATTAATTTTGGAAGTATGGCATTTTGACTATACAGTTTTGGCTGTATTGGTTCTGCCTGTCCAGGAACAAGGGATGTCCTCCCATCTTCTATGTCCCCTGGATCTACTCTTTGAGAGTACTGTGATTTTCATTGTAGAGTTCTTTCACTTCCTCAGTTGGGTTAATTCCTAAGTATGTAATTTTTCTTGGTGTTATTGTACATGATATTATTTCCTTAATTTATTTTTCAGTGAGTTTATTATTGAAGTAGAGGAATGCCACTGATTTTTGTGTATTGCTTATATAACCTGCTACATTGCTAAATTTGGTTATTAATTCTGGGATCCTTTTAGTGGAATTTTTTGAGGCCCTCTATGTAAAGGATTATTCATGTAGTAATAATGTTGATTTGATTTCTTCCTCTCCTGTACAGTCACTTCTATTTCTTTAACCTGCCTGATTGCTCTGGCTAATGTTTCAAGTATTCTACTGAACAGGAGCAGTGAAAGTGGATATCTTTATCTTATTCTTTATGTTAAAGGGAAAGCTCTCCAGGTTTCCCCCATTTAATACAGGGAAAATATAGTAGGTTTGTCAGAAGTAGCTTTTATCAGATTGAGATATGGCCCTTCTGTAATATTTGCTTCCGGCTTTTTATCCTAAAGGACGCTGGATTTTGTCACAGGTTTTTCCTGCGTCTGTGGAAATGATCACTTGATTTTGTGCTGCTTCTGTTATGCAGTGTATTATGTTTATTGATTTGTGTGTGTTGACCCATTCCTGGGATGAAGTCTACTTGGTGCTTATGTATGATTTTTTTATGATTTGTTACATTTTGCTTGCCAGTATCTTATTGTGGATTTATGATTCATTAAATACATCAGCCCGAGGGCTGAGGATTTAGCTCAGCAGCATAAGTACTTGCCTCACAAGTGTGAGGTCATGAGTTCAATCCCTGGTAATAAAAAAAAATTTAAATACATCGGCCTGTATTTCTGTCTGTCTGTCTCTCTTTTTATCTCTTTTATTTCATTTTTTTTATTTCTGATGGCATTGGTTTGGGGCTTTGGAGTTTCACCATGCAGTTCAGGCTGCCCTTGAATTCACTGTATAGCACATGCTGGCCTCGAATTCAAAGCAATCCTTCCGCCTCCCGAGTGCTGAGATTGCAGGCGTGGGCCACCACCCCCAGCCTGGAGTTCTTTTTGGGTTGGACCCTTGTCTCATTTTGGAATGAGGGCAATGCTGGCTTCCAGGAATGACTGGCAGTGCCTTTCCATTAAAGATCGTGAGGAACAGGACCTTTCCTGAGGTTCCTTTAGAATTCAACTGTGAATCTGTGGGTGCTGGACTCTTCTGAGTTGGTAGGATATTTATCACGCTTCAGTATCATTGCGATTATATTATATTCACGATTTTAATACCTTCTTAGTTCAATCTGGGTAATTCATATGTATCTAGGAATCTTTTCATTTCTTCTGAATTCTCAAATTTATTAGAGTACAGGTTTTTTAGGTAGTTGCTAATATGCTCTATATTTCAGCAGTGATTTCATTTTTCTCATTTCTGGTTGCATCGGTTTGGGGCTTTGGTAAGATTTGCTGAGGGTTTGTCTATTTTGTTATTCTTTCAAAGAAGCAGCTCTTCAATTCATCAATTCTTTCTGTGTTTTTTCGTTTGTTTGTTTGTTTTGTGTTTTTAAATCAGGGATCAAACTCAGGGCCTCATGCTTGCTAGGCAGGCACTGCACTGCTGAGCTACATCCCTGAGCATTGATTTTTTTGTACTGTTTCTCAATCTCATTAACTTTTGCTCTGATCATTATAATTCTCTTCTTAGTACCAGCTATCTTTGGATGGAATTAGTACTGTTTTCTAGGATCTTGAGGTGCATCAGTAGGTTATTTATTTGAGGCCACTCACTTTTCCTGATGTAGACATTCACTTAGGACTGCTTTGGTTGTGTCTCGTAAGTCCTGGTATGTTAGGTTGGCAATATGTTTTTTTATTCTAGGGCCTATTTAATGTCTTCCTTGATTTTTTGCGTGACAATTGATTATTTAACACTATTTTTCAATTTTTGTGTGTTTGCATGATTTCTATGGCTCATTTTGTCAGTGATTTTAGTTTCGTTGCACTCTGATCTGATAATATGCATGGAATAATTTCAATTCTCTTACATTTACTTAAGCATGTTTTATTTGCTAATATGTGTTCTGTTTTGGAGAAACTCCCACGTACTACTGAGAAGAATGTGTATTCTGTTGTCTGGTGGAACACTGTCTATGAAGTCCATTTGTTCAAAGGTTTGGTTCGACTCTGATGTTCCTTTATTGGTTTTTTTCTCCATTTAATTGATCTGTGACAGTGAGGTATTGACCTTCTCCACTGCAGTTGTGTTGATGTTTATCTGATCTTTTATGGGCTGTA